GAATAACCCCATAAAATGTAGACATTTTTATTAGCAAATTTTATTGGATTCCTTGTCGACATTCATTTGATTGAGTCATCTGTATTTTCTAAACCGTACTGCAGTGTTCTTTAATCTTTATGTACATTGATATTTGTGTACATTTTGAGAAAACTAGTATTTATTTACTCAATGTACATTGTACAATAGTACAGGCTTCGGTTAATTTTTAATTTTGCTGAAAATCAAAATAACTTTTTTTCCCAAAAATTTTGAATTTCATCATTAACACATGCTTTAGTTACGCAACAATGTGAAATGATTATTTAATTGAGGTTTCCCTGTAAAAGTGACTTGTGGATCTCTGCTGCCGCATAGACAATCAAGGATAATTCGACACTTGTTATGTTCAGAAAAACGACAATTTCTTCCTTATTTTGATCAATGGAGAAAGGTTTAAAGGGTACCGTTGTGAACAGGGCATGCAGCTTTATGGAAACTCTTAACGAGTACTTTCTCGCCCTTAAACCGATCATTTCGGAAAATGGACAATTTATTCCTTATAAAACCGACCATTTCAGGAAATGGGCGGTTTCTGCCGGTCTTGTAGAAACCGCCCATTTCCCAACATGATCGTTTTCTGCCTTATAGACCCAAGGTTTTCGTTGGAGACATCAGATTTTTGTTGGATACTCTCATATTTTCATTGGGGACCCCCATATTTTCATTTCAGAGACCCCTGACTTTCGTTGGAGACCCCAAAATTTTCATTGGAGACTACCTACAGATTTTCATTGAAGATCAAAGATTTTCGTTAGAGAATTGAGACCCCAGATTTTCGTTGAAGTGACTGGTTTCTATAAGGCAGAAACTGCTCACCTTGGGAAATCGTCGGTTTCTATAAGGTACAAACCGCCCATTTCCCTAAATGGTCGTTTTTTAGGGCGAGGACCTATTTTAGAACCCCAACTGTTAAATAAGATTTTTCAGAATGTTTAGATTGAATGAATCTTATTTGATGAAGATATTGATCCTTCTAGCTGTAAACCTACCTGGAGTACCTGCTCCAGTTACAAGGTAAGATATTGATCCTTCTAGCTGTAAACCTACCTGGAGTACCTGCAAGGTAAGATATTGATCCTTCTAGCTGTAAACCTACCTGGAGTACCTGCTCCAGTTCCAAGGTTAGGCAGGAGAATATGGTTTTATATTATTTTCGGTATTAGGACATTTTCATATGTAGATTGTATAGATGGACATTTTTAGGTTGACATATTGTAGATTGACATTACGTAGTCCATCCCATAGGAGGACATTCCATAGAAGGACATTCCATAGAAGGACATTCCATTGAAGGACATTCCATAGGAGGACATTCCATTGAAGGACATTCCATAGAAGTAAATTCCATTGAAGGACATTCCATAGGAGGACATTTCAATGATAGACATTCCATAGAAGGGCATTGTATTGAAGGACGTTGTATTGAAGGACATTGTATTGAAGGACATTGTATTTAGGGACATTGTATTTAGGGACATTGTATTGAAGGACATTGTATTGAAGGACATTGTATTGAAGGACATTGTATTGAAGGACATTGTATTGAAGGACATTGTATTGAAGGACATTGTACTGAAGGACATTGTGTTGAAGGACATTGCATTGACGGACATTGTATTGACGGACATTGTATTGACGGACATTGTATTGAAGTAGATCGTATTGAAGGGCATTTCATATAAGGACATTGTATATAAGGACATTGTATATAGAATGAAATTATATAGAAGGACATTATATGGAAGAACATTTCTAAGAAGTACATTTCAAAGAAGTTCATTTTAAAGAGGTACATTTAAAAGAAGGACATTTCAACGAAGGAAATTTTAAAGATGGACATTTCAAAGAAGGACATTTCAAAGAAGGACATTCAAAGAAGGACAATTCAAAGAAGGGCATTTCAAAGATGGACATTTCAACGATGGACATTCCTAAGAAGGTCATTTCAGAGGAGGACATTTCTAAGGACATTTTAAAGAAGGACACTTAATAGGGGGAATTTTCGATATAATTGGACATTTTATGGAATATTGTATATTTAATAAAATTGGTCATTTAATGAAATCTTATTATATATATTAAAGATAGAAAGTTGTAATCTCTGACTGTCTGTTTCTTTGTTTGTCCGAGCATAACTCAGGAACCCCTGGACCGATTTGCCTTAAATTTTGATTAGGGAACTCGGAAGACTCACGGAAATGTTCTTAGCAAGCTAAGTTTATTGGGTCGACTTTAATGGAGAAAATTTAGTTTACCGGCCAAATCGTTTATTGCCGGTAAACGGCGAGAGTAACTGTAAATTACCGCAACAATTCCTTTGAAGATTTATAACTGAAAAAGGGAAAATCCTTTAAAATCATTAATTGTAGTTTTTCGCTTTAGACTTTTGGTTAGACTTGAATCTTTTGGATGGTGAGCTTGAGAAGTATATGTTTACAAAAGTCATCGTTGATAGGAAGATAATTAGGACTTGTCCCAAAATCTCTTTCGTTACCCATTTGGGGGGGGGGGATGGTTCGGAAATTTTTTGTAAAAAAAATCAGGAAAAATCGTTTTATTTTTCAAAATTTTAAAAATCTGGGCCATTTAGAAGAGTTTTGTTTTTTAATAAGATTTAAAATATCCGTTTTTACAATTTCAAGGGATAATCTGTTCCCCAGTCCTCACCCTTCCTGCCGTACGGATCCTGCGATTTTGACATTAAAGTACTTTTCTCAATCGCAACGAAATACAATTTTCTACATCATAGATATCCCTAGCTGGGAACTAGTGTGTTGAATACTCATAACCCCGCTTGATCTCGATATCCACTGTGGACACTTTTAATTTGAGAATCAATCCTTGATCTCTTCATTTCAGTTATTACTGCAGGGTACGATTAGGGATGGGCAATAGCCAGATTCGTTTTACAGAAACAATATGAGAAGGTTTCAACATTTTAAAACTGTATTCTGTAGAAGTTTGCTTTTATCAAACATGTAAATTATAGAAGAAAATATAAGTCAAAAACGATCGTTTTAAAAATATCTGTTTCGGGTTTATAAAACGATAGTTTTTGGTTCGTTTTTGCCTTATATTTTCAACTAGAGTAACAAGTTTGCATGTAGCAAACTTCTAGAGAATACAATTTTAAATCGTTGACTCCTTCTCAGATTGTCGTAAAATCTTTGAAAAAATGTAAATGTTTCTGTGAAACGAATCTAGCTATTGCCCATCGCTAGATACGATAACCACCGGATAAAGAATAAACATTAAATGAATATGCAGATTAACAAAGGATTGAGATCAAGCATTAATCTTCTCGATATCCACAATACAAGGGTTCCCAGCTCTTGTCCTATCTGCGTTCCCCAGTGAACGCTTTTTATATTCTTTGCTACTATCCAGGCTATCAATAAACAGGGTGTCCCACGAAACATGACGCTAGTAAGACGAACTGAAGATCTTCTTTGATCTTTGAAATAGTGTTCACCATCTATTGGTAAACCAACCTTTAGAAGTAAAATTCTAAAATTAATATTCACAAAGTACCACCAATCTTGGTATTTTTAAAATGTCGTATGCTTTATTTGTGCTTTTAATAATACCGGAGATATGAAGAATTTAGTTCAGATTTTTACAATTTAATAAAAATTGAAATCTGAACGAAATGCTTAATATCTCCGGTAATGTTGACGGCACAAAAAAAGATAATTTTGTGGTGTCAAGAGTCAAGACTCGTATACATGTAAAAGTAGATAGACGACTGCACATATACTCAGCCTGCTAATAAAAAGTTGCATTAATTCTTAAGACAAGGCCAAATTTGAAGTGTCGCAACGCCTTGGGCTTTGATTTTACTGCTCTAACTCACTTATGCTTTTTCTGTACCCTTTACTTGTACACTATGTACACTATGGAGCACCTATTGTAAGCTTTGATTTTTGAGAAGTAATTGGCAAAATACTCATCGATTTTTGCTTGAGAGTTTGAAACCTTTAAATCACAGTGACTGAATGTCACAAATATATTAAAGCCCACTTTCAAGTCGTCTTTCTATTGTCTTGTTTCGTGGGACACCCTGTATCTTATCAAATTCTATAGTATATTAAAATAAGGAACTTGAGTATCTAGTTTAACAAACTAAAGTACAACTTTTGTTTTCCATAAGTCATTTTAAAAATTATTACATATGAAATATATAAAAAATAATTTTCGCGGATCTTTTTAAATTGCTTAAGTAAATATAGTTCGGGTATGAAAAAAAACATGCTTTTTAAAGTAAGTAATTAATATTACCTTTAGGGTTGATCATATTAAAAACGATTAATTATAATAATCATTAAATTAACGTAACGCTATAACGGATATGAAAGATTTGATTTTTTCCTTGATCTAAATCTTACAAGATGGAGGGGGATGGCCTTCATGTATTGATGTATAAAGTACGGGCTAAAGAATTACATTTATTGTATAACTCTTCATGCCAAAAACCTGGTTCCAAATACGAACCCATTATCCTGGATTAATTAAACAATACTTTAATCTGATCAAATTCATCCTAGAATACTTAATGAACGTAATCCTTCCAAATCTTAATCTTATTTTGCTTGTTTAAGTTTTAACTGTTCCTTGGTTTATCAATCAACAATCAGATTTATCAAACTTCTCTTTTTATATGGGGGGGGGGTTACAGCCCCCCCCCCCCGGATCAGTAAAATCCATTGCTTCTGGTAGTTTTAGGCCTAAACGGGTGCGGAGCCCCTACCCCTTCCCCCTCCCCTGAAAATTTCTTTGTGTTTGTTTGATCTACATCCAGATGTGTTTTAGGGGGGGAAGGGGGGAATTGGAACTCGCATCCTCCCCCCCCCCTCGGATCAGGGAAATCTATAGGCTTCTAGTGGGTGTTTAGGCCCAATATGTGCTAAACCCCACTCCCCCCCACCCAGATGTAATATTCATACACTTAAAAGGAGTGTTCGCGAAAAATGAAGGGGGGTATAGGCTTACGACGAAAAACAATCGCTTTTGAATTTTGATCGCTACTAATCTTACTTATTTCTATCGCGTCTATAAGGAGAAAATTGTTAAAAACGACTTATACTAAAGAACGTAGCGTCCATACAAATTTAAGAAGTTGCAATAACGCATTAAAAATTTTTTTTCTCTAAATATTTTCCTTTTCGTGTAAAAAAATCTTTTTCATAAACCACTTTATTAGTCATGATTAGGCACTATTTATGATAATTGACAAATACTTCTCATCTTTGAGAAACCTCTCATGCCACTATGTCGAAAAATTTTGTAAAAAAATCTTTTATTTAAACATAAAACACAAGTTTAAAAGCATCTCCTGCATTACACAGGCACATTTTGATGTGTTGCGTATACTCATCACTGCAAAGCTGAGGCTTGGTCTGCCTAGCAAATCTGGGAGGCTTGTGTCTGCATAGCGGAGGTTCCCCCCCTCTATAATTTAGAATTGTGTATTTTATTTTTAACCAGATTCAAGTGTTTACAGTTTTGAAATCCTCATGTGCAGATCTACAGGGCTACAAATAATCATGGAATAACAGGCTAAGCTTTGGCCGAGGAATTTTTAAATATTTTTGTTTAATGCAGTCTCATTTTATGAAAGAAATGCATTTAGATATTTGGTTCGAATTTAGACTTCTTCTTGTTCAGATCAGACAATTTTTAATTTACTAGGCTTCGCGTTCATCTTTTATTTCAACTTTTATTTGTTGCTCAATCTTTCAGCATGTTCTCTTCGATAAAACAATAACAAACATTGCTGATTTACAATTTTGTTTTAATTTTAGGAAAATCAAAAAAGTTTGAAGTCATTTTTTTAAATTCTGAGCATCATAAGCCTTCCCTGGGGTCAAGTGAGGTCCCACACAAAATTTTGGCCCGATCGGTTCAGCCGTTTTGACGTTTATTGAATACAAAATCTAAGTAAAATTATAGCTTTCAGATCATGGTTTTAAATTTGAAATTTTTTCCAGTGGTTGGGTGAAATGAGAACTAGAAAAAGAATTTCTATTAATTTCCTCCATCTCTTTTATAAAAAAAAAATACCAAAATAGGGTCTTAAACTATATAAAAATGTATTATATAAATTTTTACTTATTATATTTTATGTAATAATATACTATTGTGTACTTAAGAGAATAACATTTATTTCTTTGCTGTTGTGTACTTATGAGAATATATTATATATTATATATACTTTGCTTGTCTGTCTGTATCCAATAAATGTCAAAACGGCTGAACCAATCGGGACCAAATTTTGTGTGGGACATGACGTGACCCAAGGGGAGATTTATGGATGATCAAAATTTCAAAAATTTGCTTATAACAAAATTCGATTAACATAAAAGTTTGAAAATCCACAAATTTTTTGTAAATCCGCGAACTTTTTTTGTTTGTTTTTTTCATAATGTATCAAAGAAAAATGTTCACAATTAAAAGAGAAGATGGGCGCAAAGCAGCCAAAAGCCTAGTAATATATATTTCTATAGTTATGTCTACTTTTGAGAATAATTTATTTATCTGTTCTATACTGTAGCTGTACATCCTCAAATTCTTGTGGATTCCTACATCAGTGGAGCATAATTTGTGCATAATCTTAGTCTCGTCAGTTCTGTTTTGAACCGGTATGGCAGGAGAGAAGTTAGTAATGACATTTTCAGAGTTTGCTTCGGGGGAAAAGCCCGAGTTCCACCGAAGGAGGTGACGCCTGGTGCCGGCGCCTATTCGGTTTATAGACAGGCGCCACATGGTATTTAAAGACGTTGATCCGACGGAAATCCATCAGTTGATCTTCAACTTTCAACAATACAACATGAAGGTAGACTAATTCAAATTTTTTTATTTAGATTTTTATTTCATTTACGTCAAAAATGGATCATTATATCAGTTTTGATTTAATTCATTCATGATTGTTTGAAATCCTAAATTACATTTAAACTTAAGTATTTTTTCTATTTTAAAGTGTTTTAAGGATGTAACCAACTGTGTTACTTTTTTCAGATAATATTGACTTTATTCTGACTTCTTCTAACTCATTTTGTTTTTAGGCATTTATCTGTGCAGCTCTGTTGGCTGTTGTTGCCGCTGACCAGTCCCACCACCAGGCTATCAAGATCGGAAATGCTCCATCTGTCTCCTCTTCTGTCTTCAAGCCTCATGGAGCCCATGTAGCATCCGTTGTGAGCCAACCACATGCTGCTCCCCAGTCTGTCAACAGCTATGGAAACAATGAGAAGCCAGTTGCTGGTGTGCATGCACCTGCTGCTCTTCCTCACTCTGTTGCCTATGCTCCTGCTCCAGTTGTTCATGCTGCCCCTTACCACCCCACTCCAGTTGTTCATGCTGCTCCTTACCATCCTGCTCCAGTTGTTCATGCTGCCCCTATTGTCCATGCTGCTCCAGCTGCTTATGGTGCCCCTGTTGTACATGCTGCTCCAGCTGCTTATGGTGCCCCAGTCAAGACTGCCTATGATGCCCCTGTTGTCCATGCTGCTCCCGTTGTCGAGGCTGCTTATGGTGCCCCTGTCAAGACTGCTTATGATGCCCCTGTTGTCCATGATGCTCCAGTTGTTAAGGCTGCCCCTGCTTACCATGCTCCTGCCCCCTACCATGAGGAAAAGGAGACTCCAGAGCCCTACTCCTACACCTATGGAGTTGCTGATGACTACTCCAAGGCTGCCTTCAGTGCTGCTGAGACCGCTAATGCTGATGGAGCTGTGACTGGAGAGTACACTGTTGCACTTCCCGATGGCAGAACCCAGCATGTTAAGTACACCGCTGATCACTACAATGGATTCGTTGCTGAGGTCACTTATGAGGGAGTTCCAGTCTACCCTGAGGCTAAGTCCTATGCTCCTGCCCCAGTTAAATCTTCTTATGCTCCTGCTCCAGCTAAGCCATCTTATGCACCTGCACCTGCCCCAGCTTATGCACCTGCACCTGCCCCAGCTTATGCTCCTGCTCCTGCCCCAGCTTATGCTCCTGCTCCTGCCCCAGCTTATGCTCCTGCTCCTGCCCCAGCTTATGTTCCTGCTCCTACCCCAGCATATCATGCATAAATAATGTTTAAACAAAAATTATTTATCTATTTATTGTTAGAAATATAAAACCATTTTGCACTTTTTTATATATTAGTATTGTAATCATAAAATTAGAATTAAAGGGACTGTAAGCTAAATGTTAAGTGACTTTTCATTTAAAGAGGGGCATCCCCGGTTCACAAAGGCACCCTTTAAACCTTTGGATGACACACTTTTCCTTATTTCTCTACAGAAATGCATTTAGTTGTTAAACCCTATATTTGAAGCCAGTTTTTTTATTTAATTCATATTAATATTTACTTTCTAGAAGTGGCAGAAAAAAAATTCACATTAAAATTTTTGAAAACTACATGGATTATTCTAGAATAAATTTGACGTCATCTACATTGAGTTCACACTATACGCTAGTGTATACTCCAATTTTGCTGCTTTTTACACCGTATTTAAGAGATATATCACTGACTTCTCTGTCCTCCATGCTTGGTCAAAGGTTTAAAGGGTACCCTTATAAATCGTGGATGTCCCTCTTTAAATGGAAGGTCACTGAAATTGGGCTTATAATCCTTTAAGTTAGTCAGATGGAGAAAATGTAGCAATGACCATTTAGAATTTAAAAACCTTTTGAATAAAAAGTTAAGTTAGAAGTAAATAAGGTGTGAAATGTCATTTAACTGTGTCTTCTTTACTTTTAACAAGAATTTACATTCAAAATGACAACAAATAAAGAATATATTCAAGGCAGACGATTTAATTAAACCTAGGAATCGTCATATTTAAGACTTTCCGATCGTCTTTACAATCTTTTCAATGACGGGTCTTGAATATGAACTGTCTTGTATATGACACGTTTCTAGTGAAAATGACATATCATTCAAAGATTTAAAGGGTTCCCATCTATTCTATACAAGTATCTTTTAACAAGGCCATTGGCCATGATTCATAACAGATCATGTAAATCTGTTCTTGTTCAGTTAATATCATTTACACATTGTTTGCCCAATACAATCCTTTTCCAATGTTCAGCATGGGCCCATGGCATGTAATGGCCAATATCAATAACATGCATTGGGCAATATCAATAACATGCATTGTCCAATATCATTAGCCTGCCTTGGCCAATATCATTAACATGCCTTGGCCAATAGCAATAATATGCCTAGGCCAATATCAATAACATGCCTTGGCCAATATTAATAACATACCTTGTCCAATATCAATAACATACCTTGTCCAATATCAATAACATGCCTTGGCCAATATCAATAACATACCTTTTCCAATATCAATAACATGCCTTGTCCAAAATCAATAACATACCTTGTCCAATATCAATAACATGCCTTGGCCAATATCAATAACATACCTTTTCCAATATCAATAACATGCCTAGGCCAACTATGTGTCTTCTTGAACCATGGTCTTGGCTTGAAGGTTTCGCTCAATACCTTATACCAATAAATTCTTTTATTTTAAATTTGATTGAAATGTCACCTGAATAAAACTGTTGTTTTTTCATTGTTAATACGTATTTTAAATATTATTCAATTAACGCATAATTGATTTTTAATTCCATGTGAATTGATGATTGAATGATAGGATCGGTGTTAAAATGTGGTTTAAACAATTATTGTTCAGTCAGAGCATATCATATACATAACAAGTTTTAGACAAAGTCAAAAATTGTTTTCATTCAATATTAGAACATGAACCGTTCTTACAAAAACAAAAAACTTCGGTACAAAAGCATACATAAACAAAAATCTGTACAAAACAGAAACTTCAATACGAAAACGGAAAACTTCAACACGAAAACAGAAACTTCATTACGAATACGGAAAGCTTCAATACGAATACGGGAAACTTCAATACGAAAACAGAAAACTTCAATGCGAAAGCAGAAAACTTCAATGCGAAAACAGAAAACTTCAATACGAAAACAGAAAACTTCAATACGAAAACAGAAAACGTCAATACGAATACGGAAAACTTCAATACGAATACGGAAAACTTCATTACGAATACAGAAAACTTCAATGTGAATACGGAAAACTTAAATACGAAAACAGAAAACTTCAATACAAAAACAGAAATAGACATTCACTCAACAAAAATCAGAGGCGATTTAAAGTTTGTTAAAATGTAATTTTGTAATTTCGAAAATGGGGGCTAGTCACTCTCGTCACTCCCTTCTGTCCTTTTCTCATCAATCTCCCCGTTATAATTGTCACACAACCTGGAACTACTATATTTCCGTCGGTATTTAGTATTTAGACTAATTGTGCCTCAAGCTTTTTCCCAGTATTCATGCCTACCATTACAATTATATCTCTGTAAAGCTTGGTTGGTATTTCAATAGTTCACTTTATATGGCATTGTTTTACTTTTTTTAGAAGAATATATTGATCTACAGTGTGTAACAAGAAACAATCTTCAGAAGCGATTATTTTCAATTTGATGCAATCTTTTAAGCATTTAAATAGTTATATCCATAATAAATTAGAGTTTAATGATAACCCAAAACTATAAGATACATTTTGGTTCTCTGTGCATGTGTTTATTATTAGTTTGTAAATGCATACAACATTGAACATTCTATTATGAATGCATACGCATTGAGCATTTTATTATGTCTGTAAAATATCATAGAATTAAAATATTTAATTACAAGCTACGGAACCCAGCTTTGCCTGGAAACCAACTAAAATTTCTTTGTAAAAGTCAACCTACTCAATGTAGAATCGTTAAACCAAGCTATAAGAACATTTGCAAAGTTCTGCTGAGCTTTGAGGCAAATCGGTCAAATGGTTAATGAGAGTTATGATCAGACATACAAATAAATAGGCACCCAAAGAAATGTTACATCTAAATATATATCGATTATGTATAGATGAATGAATATGGTATTTGTGTTCTTAAAGGATTTATTTTGGGACACCCTGTAAACAGTTTTTTTATTATTTAGATGTTCCCCCTTTATCATTATCAACAAGGTGGTTGAGTGGCAGAGCTGGTCGTCTGACATGAACCCCTACTTCCCTGTCCCTCCGTGTGAGTACGGAGGTCCCTTGCAGGCCATCTTAGCTGGAGATATGAACGCGGTTTTTCTCTTGGATGAACCGGAACTAATTCCCAGGCATAATACTTACGAGTTTCTCTGGTTCCTCAAAACCGGATATACCAGGTCAGGACGATATACAGGAACTCGACCCTGCCTCGGACCTAAATTAATTATCAGATTTTGTATGATTTTTATGATTAGAATTTGGACTTTTCTCAATGAATTTTTATTTCTAACGTTGTCAGAACAGCAAAAAATCCCCAAAAACATATAGAAAAATGAAAAAGGCTAACAAATCATTTAAAATTTCTTTTTCAGGCTTCAGAGAATGTTGGCTAAAAAAGAACCGTTTGAATACGACTTCAATATTCTCAGGTAAAAAGAAGTACACAACCAATTTTGAGATGCTCAGCCCTAATGGAAAGGGGTAGATACTGGATACCCATTTCTGAGATGAAAATGTTCTTTCATAAGAATTAGTGAAATCCTAAAATTGTCTCAATTCATTATTTTATATCTTTGGCTGAACTTTGCTAGAAGCAAAATTATGGAAACTGGTTGAAACAAGTTTTCTGATAAAAACATAGAAATGAAATTCAATTCATGTCGTTTTTCGGTCAATACCCGTTTTTGTCTCACCTCCATAAATCATTTATTAACAGAAAACTGCACTATAGAAAAACAAGAAAATATTTGTCAGTTTTGCTCGTAACTTGTGAAACGGACATACATCTGTTAATGAAGGATCACTTGACATTTTAATCTGTTGAATGAAGGATCATTTGACATTTTAATCTGCTAACTGAAGGATCAGTTGACAGTTTAATCTGTTAAATGAAAGATCACTTGACATTTAAATCTGCTAACTGAAGGATCAGTTGACATTTTAATCTGTTAAATGAAAGATCACTTGACATTTTAATCTGTTAAATGAAGGATCACTTGACATTTTAATCTGTTAAATGAAGGATCAGTTGACATTTTAATTTAAAATTCCCTTAATGATTTCATAGCAATCGATAGTTAATACCATGAAATATGATAAATTAGCATTAATAGATTTTTTACTCAGGGAGGGATATGATCATCATTCAGAAACATCTAGAAGAACTCAGTTCGGTCACGGACCTGTCAGGTTTTATTCTAAATTAATGTTTTTATTTCAATTTGAGATGTATTTTTTGTAAAAGCTTCTCTACCCCAATATTTCTGTCAAGGCCACACTTTTAGGGTTGTTAATCGTTTCGGTTCCTATTTCAATCGTTTTGGTTCCAATCTTAATTGTTTTGGTCCCTAATTTAATCGTTTTGTTTCCTATTTCAATCATTTTGGTTCCTATTTTAATCGTTTTGGTTCCTATTTCCTAATTATTTTTTATTCGTTTTTTATTCGATTTTTGCAAATATTTTCTCTCAGGGTCAAAATTTGGCAAAGTGTAAAAAAGCAAATGTTTAGAATAAACAAATTTTAAATTTCTGCAACTTTTAAGACTTTTGTGGAATCTTTTATAAAGTCAAAAAAACAATTGTCCTTCAATATTTTGTTACGAGAACTTTTTTGTAAGAAAATGTATAATGGGGGACACATATTTTTCAATAAGTTTATTTGTGTATTCTGTAGGCGTCCTGAAGTGCTTGATGATGAAGTTATATTCACTAATGTTGCTGGAGAAGCTCTCAAGGATTTCTGGAAAGGTCAAGACAAGGTAAAATTGTTATTTGTGGTAAAAAATTAGGTATAATTGATGTAAAAATAACAATTTGCAGCTACTGAGTTACTAGCTTTAGTTTTATTTGCATAAAACATTTTCAATTTGGAGGTCATTTTAGGTCATTATAGGTCATTAAAGTTCGTTATAGGTCATTAAAAGGTAAAACAATAGATTTGTTGCTTCTGCTGTATTTCCTGGGTTCCTAGCTTTCGTTTGATATGCTGAACGCCATAGTTGAAACATGTTCTATTTGTCGAGGTCGTTAGAGGTCATTAGTGTCCAATTTTATTTTATTTTTGAAAATTTGAACCCAAAAGGCATGAAGCCAAAGCATAAACGAGGGGAGGGAGCCCCCCCCCCCTCATCAGATAGGACATTTTCACCATCCCCTTTAGTACAACAATTCTTCGATCTGATGATTCTATTCAGGTCGGGTCGAACTTTAACGCCGAGGGTCTTCTACTGTATCCAGAAGATACTCCTCTTGGTTCTTCAACAGATGTACTGCAGGATAATCCAGAACACCAAACCATACTTTGATAACACGGGCACTAAGCTATACTTAATAACATAAGCAAAAAACCATACTTTGATAAAACGGGCACTAAGCTATACTTGATAACATAAGCATCAAACCATACTTTGATAACACGGGCACTAAGCTATACTTGATAACATGAGCATCATACCATACTTTGATAACACGGCACTAAGCTATACTTAATAACATAAGCATCAAACCATACTTTGATAACACGGGCACTAACAATACTTGATAACATAAGCATCAAACCATACTTTGATAACACGGGCACTAAGCTATACTTGATAACACGGTCAAATGATTTTTAATTTTCTTGTGTAATTTATACGTAAATTATATGTACGAGTTAATAACATTTTCATAATAAAGAAGTATAAGTATATCTCGTTATATGATTGTCTTAGAGGAAAAAAAGTAATGTTACATCGTCTATAGGCAACATCCCCCTACTGAACTTCTGACCTACTAACTAAGGTTAAGATTATTTCTGGGCCGAACGCTGCGGCTAGGACAGGCTAGGGGGCCAAGCGCCGCGGCTAGGACATGCTAGGGGGCCGGGCGCTGCGGCGACAAGTCCATTTAGCACCTGTAAAACCACGTGCTAGTAGGTCGGATGTGTAGTATTGCGGATTTGGCGTAGGTCAGAAGTGGAGTATAGCGGATTTGCGTAGGTCGAAAAATACACCACCGAAAAAAGGCGTAATTTTGGTATTTTGCTATTTCTTACTATTTCAGTTATATTGTTCTTAATTTATAGTGATATCCACAAAACTGTGAAAAAGTAGAACTGGTAAAAACATTATTTAAAATTATAGTCGAATAATTATGAAATATAGCAATTGTGTACACATAAACTACACAAGTTGATTTTTAAGTTAATCATGGTAAAACCATTTGCTTCACAACGACATCAAATTGACATGATTTTACATAAATGTCGTCTTCCTATCTCACTGTTGGGTCTTGCAAAGCATTCAATTTAAATTTGCACTTTAATATTTAAGTAGCAAGTTTTGTTGAACAAATGGTAGTATAAACATGGTTTACTATAGTAAAATAACAATATTATGGTTTACTGTAAATAACAATAATAATGATAAATAAGCAAAATCATTCTAAATAAACGGGATGTCAAGTAAATATGCCAATTTCTTGCAATACTCTGGCAAAAACTGCCAACAAATGGAAAAAGGCCAGATTCTGAATGTTTTTTTTCTATTTTTTTATTAAAACAATATTAATAATAATTAATAATGTAGCTTTTCCGGTGAGGGCATTTCTTGGAAATGGGAACAGTGTTTAAATGCATCAAATATCAGCTTAAGACGATGCACTGTCTGAAATTCAAAGTTGATGATTTAGGTTGGATATGTACTTATAGATTTTAGTTACAGGATTATCCACAAACAATGAGACTTAGCAAAGACGACTGTACGAAATGTATACTGTGTTTCCTTATCTTCAAGATTTCTTGAACCTCCACACTTTTATGCTAAATCATTGGAAAAGCCATTTAAAGATCACATTTTAGACAGAACCGGCATTTTAGAAAAAATTGCAGGTCGCCTTTACATCCTCATCCTTTGTGGGTAACTCTGTAAAATTTGTTTAAGGAAATTCGGAAATCGAGACTTAAAGAGTTACTCACAAAAGATAATACTTTAAAAGGGTGAAAGCGCAATTTCAAATGATCCTCCGTGGAAAGATGATGATGAAGATGAAGTATGATTTAGATATCCATGTTTTTGTTTATTTTCATTTGTTGTTTCTTTACAAAAGTGACTTAAGCGCACTTCTTGCTTACAAGAAACAAATTTCACGGAAATTAACGTTACAGGCAACAGCAAGGGATAACGGTTGTAAGGAATAGGACTAAATCTTCAGAACAGTCTTTTTTTGTGCGGAACCCTGTACCATCTGACTTATTGCTTAACTTGAATGCAATATGGGATTCAAATTCAATCAAATAGTATGTTATTATCTCTTACAGTATTTTACTTAAAACACCCAAATTATTGCTGAAGCCAATTCATAGGTTTATACCGAGAAATGCATAGCTGAATAAAAATTTAAATTGTCCTCACTATTTTTCTGAACCCCATTCCTGCGGGGGGGGGGGGTAAATTAACCCCACCCCCTGAAATTTATTACATAACTCAAAATATTGGTCTGAGGCTGTTGAAATTTTCTGACTTTTCCTAAATACCCAAAGCCTTCCATTTTGGGCCTAAAACCGGGCTTTTATACTAACTGCCCGAGTTCACAGGAACACTGCCTGAATGACTACTTTTTCTGTAACAAACTTAATCTTTGTTTTGACCCACTTTCAGTTTACAGATTTTGATAATTTTTGGCTTTTTTATAAGCCTATAAAATAAGGAAACGGATTGCACAAGTTAAAGTCTAAAATTCGTCTACCTATTCCAGAATTTTCTGGTTATCAAAGCATGACAAACATTTGTGGCAAATTTTTAACTCTGTTTGAGTTTTATTCAGACGGAATCCTTAATGCTTATGACTATACATGATATCTTTTTGCAGAGGTTAAAACTTTTGAATTTCTTAAACTTGTGACTTCATGTACCCAGGCGGTTTATTTATTTCCTCCCGATGGATCACTTCAGGTTGCATACAAGTAGGGTTTCCAGCGAAAAGGAAACATCGTTTCGCGAAAATTTTTTCGCGACCATGTCGCTCCATTTTCGACTTTCGATCGCTCGCGAAAAAATGCGAAAATTTCGCCAAAAAAATAGAAAATTATGCAAAAAAAACACGAAAATTTCGCGAAAATACAGAATTTAAAAAAACAAATGCAAAATTTTAGTGAAAAAGTTGCGAAAATTCAGCAAAAAAAAACACCAAATTTTGAGAATACCAAACTCATTTTCAAAGAAGGATTTATCCGCGAGCCCAATTGATGGATTAACACAAAATATAAATATAGATATAAGAACGACTCTAGGAGACATCAGACATTTCGCGAAAATATTTTCGCATTTTCGCGAAGTTTCTGAGAAAAATAATTTGAAGTATAAAAGCATATATTTTCTAATTGCAATGCCCAGTGGGGGTAGGCATTGCAGTAATTAAACTTAACAATAAAACCCTTACAAACTACAACAGCACAGTACAATTATCTTACAAGCTAGTGTACAGCCTACAGGTTGTTACAGTAATATAAATTGTATGAACTTCAAATTTTATATATTTTTTGAAATTTGAGGACCGGAATGGAAGTTTTGACACACAAAAAAATTGTATTATTTTTAAATATGGAATTAGGGGAAAGTAAGCAATTATTCATTAATTGTTAAATCCCACGTGGTGGAAAGTAATGAGGGAAATAAGATCGATCTCTCAGCTCAATAATTCCATCATCTGATCTAAAAAAGAAAGATGTGAATGTTAATTTTGATTTTCGATTAAAAATGTACAGTTTAAAAATAAGGAAAATATATGTTATACTAGGCTTTCAGGGTGATTCGAAATTCCGATGCGCATAATTGTGAATTGGAATTGTGTGGAATTTTAAACGACAGCAAAACTAATTTCCCAGATTTAGCGATTTTTTCGCAAAGTTTTAAAAATCGATTTTTTTCAAGATTCCACAAAAAAATTTGGCCAGACAGTTCAGCCGTTTTGATGTTTATTGGGACAAACAAGCAAAGCGTATATATATAGATAAATAAATTTTACCTGGATACTGCTTTTGCACCAAATGAGTTGAAATCTGGATAAAAGGGATCGTACGCACTTCCCCTGGTCACAGTTTCCCGGACCCCGGAGCTTGAACTTGGTTGAACAGCATCTCCACCCAGGGAGGTAAAGGAGTTGGAGTAGCTCGGCCGTCCAGAGAATATTTGTGGAGAGTTGAAATAATTATTGGTTTGCTTTGCCGCGTTGTATTCTAGTCGGGATTGATCAGCTGTTGTACTGTCAGAATAGGTTTGGTAGGAGTCGTCTTTGTATCCTTGAAATCCGGGAGAATTATTGTAGGAGTCATAGCCATCCGAATAATAAGAGTACTGTTCCCTATCATCCTAGATATTAATGTATTAAACTTTCAATTAAACTTTTTATTATACTAAAAAGTGATTATTATAAAAAATTTAAAGATGTATTTCTTTTAGAAACCTTGTAACTTAATAACTGCGCTAAAATCTGAGTTTCCAGCTTCCTTTAAAAAAGGCGATTTTTTGCATTGTTTTTTTCAGACTCTTAAGACTTTATAAACTATATCCGTATACCTCTGGATTTGAAAATGTATCTTGATTCTTCATTATTTCCATCTCTTCATATCTAGGTTGGGAGGAGAAAATTAAAAGTTCAAGTTTTTTTTTTAAATCCTAAAATTAGTTTATTTTTGTATTCAACACAGTGGTAACCAGAAAACAATGAACTCTTTGTCGTCTGTAAAATTACTAAGGGTTTTGTATTATCACAAATATATTTATAAAGGAACCACGATTTTTTGCCACAAACTCCAATATTTTAATCCCTGTATCTTTGCAACCTGAATGTGTAATCCTTTGATATTTAAAACTTATAGATTATTCCATAGATTAATTTAACTAAAAAATTTAACACTAGATGTCGTCTTTTCAAGATTTATGTATGTTTCGTGCTCAATAACCCAGAGGCAGAAGCCCAAAGAAGTTACGCGTAGTCGGCATAGAAGACATAGAACGGACTCTCTCTCTGTCTTGTTATACGCCGACCAAGCGTAAATCCTTTGGGCTTCTGCCTCAGGATTATTGTGAACGAAACACACATAAATCTTGAAAAGACGACATCTAGTTTCCTATCTGTTATTCTAATTAATCTATGGATTGTTCAATCTAACAGAATTCATGGTTTGAAATATCTAAGGTCTACGACATTGGGTTGCAAAGATATGGGAATTAGAATATCTGAGTTAATGGCAAAAGCTCAATTCCTTTATCATGGATGGTTTGGAAATTGAAATAACATAATTTTCATATTTCGTTCTTTTGGCATAAAACCTTGATATTTAAATAATTTCTAGCTTAGATGGATTGCACGAACAACAAGAAGAAAATAGAGATTTAAAAAAACAAAAATGTCAAAATACTTGCAGCTGCTATTATCCAATTATTTTCAGAACATTGCTAAAGTAAAAAATTTTAAAAATCAATATGTTTTAAAACAGATAATTCCTTCACCTTTTTGTGGTAGAGTATTCGTCATCTCTATTCCCTTGATAGCTAAATATCATTTTGTTAGAAATATTTTTATCAAAATCAAGAAAATCTTAAAACATCTTTAAACTATTTTGAAAATAATTTATTAAAAAATAGGATTTAACACTTTTTAAAACCCAGAATAAAAACAATTACGTTCGGTCAGGGTTGATTCCAACTATCAAACAAAGTATTTTTTATTAATATTTTTTATATTCTTACTTGTCGTAGTTCTCATTATTCTTCGTTGGAGCAATGTAGATTGGAGAGTTCCCCTTAACAGACAAATATTAAATTAAAGTCTCTTGATTTATAGAGTGGTAAAGGAACTCTTTAAACCTTTCTCTAGTCAAGAATGATTAGTATAGCACTCCTGTAGAGTTCCCCTTAACAGACAAATATTAAAGGGACAATCCTGACTCTTGATTTATAGAGTGGTAAAGGAACTCTTTAAACCCTTCTCTGGTCAAGAATGATTAGTATAGCACTCCTGTAGAGTTCCCCTTAACAGACAAATATTAAAGGGACAATCCTGACTCATAATTTATAGAGTGGTAAAGGAACTCTTTAAACCCTTCTCTGGTCAAGAATGATAAGTATAGCACTCCTGTATGCCGAGTCCGTTAGCGCCTGATCCAATCAGGGTTTAGTCATGTGTTTGGTGTCTCTTCTGAACCAATAGAAATAGTATGGCGGTAAATCTATCTTTCTATCTACCTCATTATCCAATTAGAGTTATGAATCCTTCAATCGGCGCTATCAGTAAATATATAACAGTAACAGTAAATGGAAATATTTACTTCTACTGAAACTATGGTGATAGGTCATCTTCATCATCTTCTTTTTATGAATTGATTATATCCATTTTTGAATACATCAACAATTTATGACTGGGATAATAGAAAAAATAAAATTTGCAAAAAATCTAATTTTTAAAAATAAATCTAATTTAAGAATAGATCTATTTTTAGCCATACAACCCCGGGATACTCAAGGGTTTCCTGAAAAAAATTTAGCCAATTTGGTTCAGCCGTTTGGCCAGCTATAGCTATCATGTATATATCTATATAATAAAACTCTTTGCTCAGTCATGTATATTTGTATATATGTTAGCTTAAAACTAGCCAAACTGCTGGACTTTGGCTAACATTTTTTGAAGGAATCCATGGGCACCTTGAGGGTGACAAAGGCTAAAAAATTCAGAATTTTTTCAAAGATCTAAATTTGTTCGATTTTTTTTTTAATTTCGCTAAATTCCCAATTTTCCAGAATTAGTAGGATATCTAACTCAAAGATTCCCAGCTCTGATTTTCAAAGCTTAAACATACACTTTAAATTTCGAAATAAGCGACATATAATAACTTACATACAGTTAAACTCTAAATAAGTCATACATCGAAAGAACTAATAAAATGTCGTATTCTTCTATTTCTGATAATGGAATGTTGCAGATATTTAGTTTTTTAATTAAATGATTATTTGGAGCTCTTTAAAACTGTTCCTACATATTGATGGCTATTTATTTATTTTTGCAAATACTGAGATCTACGTTAAATAGTATAAAACCCAAGATGACATTTGACATTCTTCGTTTGCTCATTTAGGGTTTAACTGTATATTTAACAAAAAATCGCTTATTTTGGCAGCCATCCAACTTTTCTATTTTGTACTTTAGCGTGTATAACGAAAAAATATTTGGTTTGGAGATAACAAATTGGGAATTTTATGACAAAATTAAGACTTATCTCTCAAACATTCTCCTAAGGTTAACAATAATAAGAAGGTGCAAAGCTTCTTAGTCCAGTAAACTATAGTGTGTCCCAATAAACATGGGAATTCAGTGACGAATTTGATATCGTCTTTTCAAATAATTCTTTGATTTAGTATAGTGATACGGGTGTCCCACGAAACATGACAGTTGGTGTATAGTTTAAAATGACTTTTCCCATTATTTGTTCAGTTGTTTGATACCAAAGATCAATGAAAATATTATATGGGAGTCATGTTATATTAAAATTGATTTCAAAGTAAAATATAATTACTAATTAGGCAAAAGATTTGTTTAACTAAAAATAACTATTTATTAAATTTCATGTTTCGTGGGACACCCCGTACCTACTGAGCAAGCTGTAATCTGTAAGAGTTTCGTCTGCTATGTTCACATTTTGTTTGTTTATGTTTTGACTGCATATGGTTGTACTTAGTAAAACAAGAAAATTGCAGTATACAAACAGAGTGAACTTGTCCGTCTTCACTGTTCGTCTTAAGGAGACATTATAGAGGACAGTCTTTTACCGTTTTCATAATATAAACTCTAGCAGACATAATAATATTATGGCTTTTGAAATTAGGTATTACCATGCTAATTTTTAACAAAGACGATATCGAGTTCGTCACTGAATTCCCATGTTTATTGGGACACCCTGCACACTGTGCATTGATTTGATGAATAATTGCGCTAAGATGGAGGAGAGGTATGCAGGGTGCAGACGGTTCTGTGTTAAGGTCAGGGGTTATGAAGGAAGAGTAGTTTCAGAGAAGTGTTTATTTTGACTCAACCATCATTAATATATCATTTTAAACCAACTCTAAACTTTAGACTGTTTAATATATCAGTTTAAAACAACTCTAAACTTTAGACTGTTTAGTTTAACTCAACCATCATTAACATATCATTTTAAACCAACTCTAAACTTTAGACTGTTTAGTTTAACTCAACCATCCTTAATATATCATTTTAAGCCAAACTCTAAACTTTAGACTGTTTAGTTAAACTCAACCATCATTAATATATCATTTTAAACCAACTCTAAACTTTAGACTGTTTAGTTTAACTCAACTATCCTTAATATATCATTTTAAACCAACTCTAAACTTTAGACTGTTTAGTTTAACTCAACCATCCTTAATATATCAGTTTAAACCAACTCTAAACTTTAGACTGGAACAGTGTTTAGTTTCAGTTTTTTCTATTTAAATTCATAATTATTATCATGGTATCTTTGTCAAAACTCAAAAGTATTGTAAACGTAATGTTCGAGTGATTGATCCAATTCAAGCAATGTTGCAACAGTACCCGGCCTTAACAACTTTGTATGATCGAAAATGAATGAGTTATCCATATTTTTTCTTTAAAAATGTATTTATTAAAATTGTGGTGTGCTACATAATTAAACTTGAAATTACTTGAAATTCCATCGGCAGTCCCTTTGAGGAGGTTTAAAAAACTATAATTACCTCATGAGTTTTTGTATCATAAACCGTCCAGGTATCTTCAATCTGACCATCAGGGCTTAGGTCGACCGACAGCTGGTAGGATATCTTGCTGTTGTTCTGCCTGATCAATAGAGCCAAGGTGTCAAATAAATAATTAATAATCTTGCACATTTTAAAATGGAAGTTTCTCCGTCTTTTCTTTTGTAATTTATTAGCTTTTATAACAGCACTTGTCAGGAATTAAACAGTTAGGAAGTTTGGAACTGAGTTTTTGTCACAAAATCAATTTTCTAATCCGTATATCTTTAGATCTTTGATATTACAAACTTTTAATATTTTTTTTGAAATATCAAAGGTTTATCCCATCAGGTTTATCCCATCAGGTTTATCCCATCAGGTTTATGATGTCTGGATACGAAAATTTTAATTTGTGACAAAAACTTAGTTCCTTTTAAGATTCTTAGTATTAATTTGAATTAAAAGGAAAAAAGAAGAAAGTAAATTAGAATTCTATATTTTGAAAGATTTCAAATAACCTGAGCGGAAAATCTCTCTTAGGTCTTGGATCAATATTCATCACTTTTACAGAGGATTGAAGCCTCGTATCTTCTGGTATCTTCGTTCGAACCTTTAATCATTCATTTAATTATTTAATAATAAATTCATTCATTTAATATATATTATAAATTCTATCATTAATTCTATCATTAATTCTACATTATAAATTCTATCTTTATTTCTATCATTAGTTCTAACATTGATATCATATGAAAAAGTTTATCTTTAATTCTATTATTAATTCTATCATTAATTCTATCGTTAATTCTATCATTAATTCTATTATAAATTTTCTCATTAATTCTATCGTTAATTCTATCATTAATTCAGACATCAATGAAGTTCAAAACAAACAGCACATTATTATATAAAATTAGAAATAAATTAATTGTGTAATCAATAAATTAATAATCATTCAATAATGAACTTTAGAAAAAACAACTCATATCACTTTATTTCAAAGATCAATTATTAATCCATGAAAATTTAACTCTCTATTATGTTTATAAGTTTGACCTTGTATCCAAGTTTTCTATTTGTAGAGTCTCTATTTAGTCCCCGAACTGTTCTTCTGTATGTTACTGATCTAGGTCTAAATCATATTCAATTCTTCAATAAATAGATTAATATGATAAAAACTTCAAATTTAATAGTTTTTATTGTTGAGGATACAATGTTTACTTGATAATAAAATAAAATATAATAATAATGATGATGACTTCTGAAATAAAATGACCGTTTGGTTACAAAGATTTGTTGTTCACTGCAAATCGCGAATTTTTAAGCTTTTACTATTTTTGAAACGTGATCACTACACGAGAAGGTTGTTTATAATTTCAAATTTTGAATATTGAAAAAAAAAATCACAGTTTTCCTTAATCAATATGATAAAAATTTAAATTTAATGGTTTTAATTGATAAGAATATAATTAATGTTTACTAGATAATAAAATAAATATAATAATGATAATGATAAATAGTAAACAATAATGATAATGATAATAATAAGGAGAATAACTAGTTCTGAAGTGCCCGGCGTTGTCCATGGAATTTCAAATTTTGAATTTTGAAAAAAAATCGAGCTTTGAAAAATAAATTCCAAATATTTTAGCCTATGTTACCATCGGGGCACGCATGGGTTTCCTTAAAAAATGTCAACCCATTCGGTCCATGGCCAGCTATAGCTAACATACAAACAAATATAATAATAAACTGATAATTTCTCTATGTTTTCCTGCAGTAGAAATCCGTAAGTCAATTTTTTAGAGAAATTATTAACTTTGATATCTAATTCATACTTGATCAGACAAAGCTTTTAGTGGTAAAAAATTGTGCATCGGGAATTGTCATCTTTGCATGGAGGGTCACTAAAAATTACGCTTACAGTCCCTTAAAACAGTTAACACAAGTATTGAGGCTTCAGAAATGACAAATAATCCTTAATTTATTTATTTAATTATTTAATTTATGGATCTGGACCAGTTCCCTGGATCTGGACCCGTGCCCTGGATCTGGACCAGTTTCCTGGATCCTGACCAGTTCCCTAGATCCGGACCAGTTCCCTGGATCCGGACCAGTTCTCTGGATCCGGACCAATTCCCTGGATCTGAACCAGTTCCCTGGATCTTGCTGGATTTTACTTTTATCGTTGTTCAGTTGAGTTTTTATCATATCATATCGTGGTTTGGTTTGGTTTGGTTTTGTCCCATTTGGTTTGGTTTGCCAACATTTGATTTTATTTGGTCTAAACTGATTTGGCCTTGATTGATTTTTTTTGGATGCGTTTTATAGGATTTTTCTTTGGGGGGGGGGGGGGATTGGGTTGTTTTGCTATGTTTGGTTTGATTTAACTTGATTTCGTTTGGTTAAATTTGGTTTAGTGTAGTTTGGTTTGATTTGATTAAGTATGCCTTAGTTTGTATTAGTTTGTTCTGATTTGGTTCGGTTTGTTTGTTTTATTTTGTTTTGTTTTGTCTTGATTTGGTTTGATTTGTTTTGATTTGGTTTTGATTTGGTTTGATTTGGTTTGGTTTGGTTTGATTTGGTTTGGTTAGGTTTTGTTTGGTTTGACTACCTTGTATCAGGAGAGTATTGAGGCCACTCAACTACATCTTCAAGAGGAGAAGCAGACCCAGTCCGGTTATTTGGAGACCTAAGAGTTGTTAATGTGTTAAAGAACAATTGTATACTTTAGGTCAACAATTAACATAATAAAAAACAGATTTTGGACAAAAATTAATTTAGATATATAAAAATTAGAATGCTAAGGAAAAAATATATAAAAAGATATCTGATTATTTAAAAAAAAATTTTAATATATTATTTTAATATATTGTATGACAAAAGCTGATTTTATTAAAAAAAAATACAAATTTCAAAGAAAATAGTTCTTTTTTCTTAATTTGAATTTAATATTCATGGAATGGTTCAGATATCGACAATGAATTAGGATTCTAGGAGAAACTAGAAATAAACAGTTTCAAACTTTTAAAAAGGAAACAAATTTTTGATATTACAAATCTACAAACTAAGTTGTAATCTCTGTTTGTCTGTCTGTTTGTTTGCCGATGTCCTGCCATAACTCGGAACCCCTTGACTGATTTGTCTTAAATTTTAAATAGGGAAACTCGGTAGAACCACGGGAATGTTATTTGTGTAATTTGAAATTTCTAAATTAATTGGATTTTCTTTCCCAAGTATACAAAATATACTGATTAAATTCGATATCAGCCTATATGCTAGATACCCCCTTTCATATTTCGTGAACACTCCCTTTAAAGAGAAAAGGGAAATATTTTTTACCCCGTCCTGGCAAAGTTTGACCAGTATTCAATCATCCTTCTACTTAATCCTTCCTCAGCTTCTAAAATATCAATTATTCTAATATTACGAATGAACCCTTAATCTGAGCAATCATGAGGTATGTATTGTCATTAAAAGGTGTTGAATTCTGACAGTTTCCTTTATTCTTAGCAACCGTAAATCCACAAAAAAAAAACTTTAAACGAGAACTCACAATTAAAAATCATCCATTTTTTAGATAGAAAAAGAAAGACCTCGTAGCTCCTCAAGCCTTGATAAGTATGAAAAAATCCAATGTATTCGGTTATATATTAGAAATTCAAAACATTTTTATTTGTTAAGAGCTCTTCAATATGAGGAGCTAGGATTGAAAGCTTATAGGAGTTTAATCTTACGTGGAATTTACTTTAGTTTGACGTGACCAAGGTTATAATGCAAGGAAAGTTATTTCAGAGGTGTGCGCATCTTTTGTACTGCAGTGTACTGACTCTGGGCGGTAATGTAAACACAAGATGGATGTCACAGCCTGACATAAAAAATCAATGAAATATTCTGGTCATAGGAAACTTTTATGTGAATCATCAAAATTTTCACAATTCAATGCTTTTAACCTCCTCGGATACTAAACGAACACTGATGCATCTATTCTTTTTTACAAATTCCGCCCAGCGAGAACTGGTTTCAATATGTACGCAGAGTATACGCAACTGAAATTAACTTTCCTTACATTATAACCTCGGACATGATTACCTTCTACGTCAAAATGATCAATTTCTCCCGACCCAGCTTCTCTTCTCATCTTTCTTTTCTAAACAGATGCACAGTGAACATATAAAAATATAGCACAGGAAGAAGACTGTAAAGACTCAAGTTTTGATTTTAATCAAACACAGCAATTGTGCAGTGTATACAGACCAATTTCACTAAATTGTAGAAGTTTATGACCTGTTGTACAACATGATAACATATAATAAAGGATTACCCTCAAAGGATGATGTACAGAATTTATTCAGTGGTTCTTCTAAAATTAATGCTTCTCTTACAGCTCTTACAATTTTTTTCAAATCGTTATAATTACAACTTTGTCAGACTTTATTCAAGACAAAATGTCCAATTCGATCTTCAGATGGTCAGAATAAAGTATGTTTCTTATCCTCACGAATAAGACATTTTTATGCTTCCAATATGTTTTGATAACTCTAGAAAATTAATCTCTAAACTTGACGGTTGGTAAATAGTATAAAATGTCTTCTTCCATATTTTGTTAAGCTATTTGATACCAAAGAGAATAATAAAAATTCACATAGCAGTCATATTATAGAAAATTTATTTCAAAGTAAAATATATTTGAGTAAAAGATTTTTTTAGAGAATTAAACTGAGAAAAGTCTTTAATATCTAATACAGTATATGGAAGAAGACACTTAAAACTATTCACCAACTGTAATTTTTCGTGGGACACCCTGTATATTATGACTGTTGTATGAAAATTTTGTCTGGTTAATAATTGTCAACAGAATATTTTTTACGTATTCCTTATTTATGTTTGTTTACAAATATTAATTTTTGATGAATGGAAATGTAAACAAACACGCCAGTTGTGTTGTGAATCCGGAGCTTAGAGGTCGGTATAAACATGTTTACTTCTTTATTCTTGGCGTGAAAATGAGCCTTAAACTTTAATGAGCCAAAACTTTAATGTTTCACGTGAAAAGTCGTAAAATGTTATTATCTCTGATTAGAATCTTTATTTCTATCTTTGTGGATTGCCGGAGATAATTGAGATTTAAGATTTAAAAAGTTTTCTTAAATTCTTAATAGANGTTTACAGCCATTAAAGCGCCCGGTCCGTTTATTGCGTCGTGTTCTTAGTTATAACATTGATAAAGCAATTAGAGCCGCCGCTTCTGGCAATACACCATTTCCAACTAATACAGTTGAGTACGCCTGGGACCCTGTGGTACCTTTTGGCAACAGTACATTTGCTACTCCTTTTAGTACAATGTTTCAAGGAGGCAGTGAGGATCCTCCGGATCTTAATCAGTCTGTTTATTCTATGTCTAGTATCTTAACAACAATATCAGTTATTGAAGAGAAGATTAAAAACGATCCTGATGGATTTGTTTCCCAATGCCAGAGAGTTAGGAAAACCCTTATTAATTGTATTCCAACAGAAGATCAACTTGCTCAACTTAATGGAGAACACCTTCGGAAGATTGTAATGAAGATTGAACATGGACTTAACAAGTTAGATCAATATCAAAAAGTTATAGAAGATTATTTTGAGAATAATGATAACAATCTTTCTGATGCTCAGACACGTAGTTTGGATCTTTTGATGACTTCAATGCAATCCACTAGTTTGGAGATGATGGCTGTCCAGGGCAAAATCAAAAAGATTCAAGAATCTGTTGAACTGGATGAGAGGAAGTCAGCTAATCCAACTTTTTCATTTCCTTCTCTTTTATCTGGATCTGATGGAACTACAGTACTCCAGTCCCATCTGACTCCATCTCTTCCTAAGTCGTCTGTTCAGTTTTTACCATCGAGGCTTTTTGTATCTTCTAACAGTTCAACTGTTGTGTCTTCTCTTGCGTCCTCTCTTACGTCTTGTGTGCTGATAGCATCCACTTTTGTCGCTCCATCAAACATAGTGGGAAATGTTCAGTTTTCAACTGGATCTCCAATTACCCATCTTGTTAATTCTAATGTCATGAGCTCTAATATACCCAGTACTTGTTATCAAATACCTCATCAAGCTCTTGCACCCCCTTTGGATAGTTCGTCTGTTATATTGGAAGCTGAAAGTTGGAAATCCTTTCAATTCCAATCTCAAAATGTATTGGAAAGACTTGTATTGGATGATATGTATGCATTGGCAGAATTGCTTGAGCAAGAGTTAACAAGTAATCTTACTGATGGTGAGTTAAAGGGCATTGATTCAAGGAAAGCTAAGGACATTTCTAAGTTACAGAAGAGTCTGATAGAGAAGATTGTGAAGATCGAAGCAACTGCTGATTCACGAACAAAACCTTTGATTGAGAATTGTTTAGCTGCAAATGATGAAGCAAATAATTGGATTAGGTCTTTGAGCAAGATGATGGAATCAAGAGAAATGTGGTATGAGAGTTCAAAATCTCTAGGATGTCCTTTGAAGTTGGAACCTTTTGATGGTTATAATTCAAAAATGAATGTTTTTGAGTTTATCAAGGTTTTCAAGATTATAACTAGGAACATAAGTCCTAAAGATGCAGCTGATTACTTGTATCAGAATTATCTTAGTGCTGATTTACAAAGNCTTTGCATGTGAAGCAGGTTTCAAAATTGTAGATAGCACACCTAGGGTTATCTGTGTAGCTGGAGGCGGAGAAGTTTCAACTGGATATGGAATTTTTAGTTGTATTTTAGGCCCATCAGAGCAGGGACAGTATGTTCCAATAAGTCTTCTTGGCATGAGAAGAATCACTTCTGAAATACCGCAGTATAATCTTTCTGCAATGGAGAAGGAAGTGAAGATAGCTAGCCAAGGTTCTACTATTGCTAAAGAGCAATTTCCTAAGTATGTAGGAGGTGATGAGATCAAGATGATTATTGGTATCAAAGATAGTTATTTGATGCCAAAACTGCTGATGACTCTTCCATCTGGTCTTATGGTTTTCCGCAGTTCTATAAAAGATGTTTATGGGTCTAACCTGATGTTTGGTGGTCCACATCATTCAGTTACTCAACTACACAAATCCTTGGCCTCCGGGATTATCAATTTTAGAGTTATGTTTGCCAATGAGTACGAGTCCTATCGTAATGCTTTGGATCTTCCATGCTACTTTCTGCCAAAGTCCTGTGGAATAGATGCTGATAATTATGATTCAGTAGTTCCTTTCAGTTCTATTCATGCTACTGTGGAAGAGGATGAACCTGTACCAGTTAAAAATTGTGGTCTAGTAGGTGGTCCAGCCTGCAGTTGTAAAGAAGGTGAAATTCTAGATTTAAATTATGAATTTTGCAGATGTTGTTACTTTCCTGGGGATTCCAAGGTAATTGATCAACTTGATTCTGATCTTGTAAGTGATGATATTTGCATCCTTAATGCCAATCAGCTGAACTCTAGCGTTCTTGTAGATAAAGATATCGGCATCTTTAATGCTAATCTCAATAGTTTTAGTGAGGAAACTTGTGATAAATTGTCCTATAGCTTAGGTGTTACTAAACCACTTAAACCTAAAGCGTTAGAGAGAAGATTTGAAGAGGAAGAAGATATTGGTTCTAAAATCACATATCGCTGTGCTAGATGTGCTGGTTGTGAAGCTTGTAAAGCTGGGAATAAGACCAGAGAGGTTTCTATCCAAGAAATCATAGAAGAAGAAATAATTAATAAATCGATTGATATTGATTTAGAGAAGAAGACTACTTTTAGTAGATTTCCTTTTCGTTGTGATCCTATTCCCATCCTAAAGAAACTGTGGAATAGTAATTCTAATGAGAGAATGGCTCTCAAAGTGTTTGAACAACAGAGAAGAAAGGCTCCTGAAGTAAGGGCTGCTACAGTTAAGTTTCATCGTGAGGTTGCTGAGAAAGGTTTTGTGGTGCCTTTTAAGAGTCTTGATGCAGAGATTCAAGAAATGATCATGAGTGCTGAAATCAGACATTATTTCTTGTGGAGGTCTGTATTCAAAGCTTCTCTAAGTACTCCATGAAAAGTTTTAGTCGATCCCAGTCAGTCTGGACTCAATAGTGTTTTGTGCAAAGGAGTTAATTGTTTAAACTCTCTCTATATGATTGTGATAAATTGGAGATCATGGCTTGTTGGTTTTTGTGGAGATATTTCCAAGTTCACAGACTGGCAATGGAAGTTTAGAAGAAAGTTCAGTAGCCTAGCATACTTATTGCCAGGTGATACTCCATTTTTATTGGGAATAAATACTTCTTCCCAATTGCCGGCCGGGAAGGTGTGTTCCTCTCACAGTATGACTGTCTCTTGGCTTGGATATGCTTCCTGATAAACAATCTTCTTTTGTCAAACTAGAAGACCTCCGGATATCTTTTAGAGATCTCCAAGGCAAATTGTTTCAGTCTCAAAAAATAGTACTTGATTTTTGTACCCCTAATAACCATGCAGAACATGGACGGGTTGAAAGCAGAGTCAAAATAGTAAAGTCTATATTTGAGAAAGTTGCTGAGATTGGTAAGAAACATTCTTACATTGAGTGGGAGACAGTTGTACAGCGAACTGCTGCTTCCATGAATACCTGGAACAAATAAACAATATGGGTCCTGGAACAAATAAACAATATGGGTCCTGGAACAAATAAACAATATGGGTCCTGGAACAAATAAACAATGTAAGCCCTGGAACAAATAAACAATATAGGCCCTGGAACAAATAAACAATTTGGGTCCTGGAACCAATAAACAATATGGGCCCTGGAACAAATAAACAATATGGTCCCTGGAACGAATGAACAATTGTAGGTCCTAGAACAAACAAACAATATAGGCTCTGGAACAAATAAACAATATGGTCCCTGGAACAAATAAACAATATGGGTCCTGGAACAAATAAACAATATGGGCCCAAGAACAAATAAACAATATGGGCCCTGGAACAAATTAACAATATGGGTCCTGGAACAAATAAACAATATGGGTCCTGGAAAAAATAAACAATGTAAGCCCTGGAACAAATAAACAATATGGGCCCTGGAACAAATAAACAATATGGGTCCTGGAGCAAATAAACAGGATGAGCCCTGGAACAAATAAACAATATGGGCCCTAGAACAAATAACCAATATGAGCCCTGGAACAAATAAACAATATGGGCTCTGAAACAAATAAACAATATGAGCCCTGGAACAAATAAACAATATGGGCCCTGGAAAAAATAAACAATATGGGTTTTTGGAGCAAACATACTTTATATGGTTGCTGGATAATTAATACACAATATGAGCCCTTAATAAAATAAGCAAATAAATGTGTAAATAATAATAAATAAATAATAAACAATTTGGAGCCTGAAGGAAAATAAGGCCCCTGGAACGCGGACCAGGAAAAAGTCTAAATGAAGATAAAAATGTATCATGGTAATCAATCTAAAAGTACAATTTTATTGCTAAAAATATTTGGTAACTTTTTATATGCTAGAGCTCCGGATGATATTTTGTGCTGTATAACCGCACCCACCCCCCCCCCCC